GCTTTTAAAAACTCCCAGCCTTGTTCATTACTAAAAACCGCAATCATGGGTAAGACTGCCGACCTGACTGCTGTCCAGAAGGCCATCATTGACACCCTCAAGCAAGAGGGTAAGACACAGAAAGAAATTGCTGAACGAATAGGCTGTTCCCAGAGTGCTGTATCAAGGCACCTCAGTGGGAAGTCTGTGGGAAGGGAAAAGTGTGGCAGAAAACGCTGCACAACGAGAAGGGGTGACCGGACCCTGAGGAGGATTGTGGAGAAGGGCCGATTCCAGACCTTGGGGGACCTGCGGAAGCAGTGGACTGATTCTGGAGTAGAAACATCCAGAGCTACCGTGCACAGGCGTGTGCAGGAAATGGGCTACAGGTGCCACATTCCCCAGGTCAAGCCACTTTTGAACAAGAGACTGCGTCAGAAGCATCTCGCCTGGGACTGCTGCTGAGTGGTCCAAAGTTATGTTCTCTGATTACAGTAAATTTTGCATTTGCTTTGGAAATCAAGGTCCCAGAGTCTGGAGGAAGAGAGGAGACACATAATTCACATTGCTTGAGGTCCAGTGTCAAGTTTCCACAGTCACTGGGGTGTCATGTCAGCTGCTGGTGTTGGTCCACTGTGTTTTATCAAACGTAGGGTCAATGCAGCTAGCTATCAGGAGATTTTGGAGCACTTCATGCTTCCATCTGCTGAAAAGCTTTATGGAGATGAAGATTTCATTTTTCAGCACAACCTGGCACCTGCTCACAGTGCCAAAACCACTGGTAAATGGTTTACTGACCATGGTATTACTGTGCTCAACTGGCCTGCCAACTCTCCTGACCTGAACTCCATAGAGAACCTGTGGGATATTGTGAAGAGAAAGTTGAGAGACGCAAGACCCAACACTCTGGATGAGCTTAAGGCCGCTATCGAAGCATCCTGGGCCTCCCTAACACCTCAGCAGTGCCACAGGCTGATTGCCTCCATGCCACGCCGCATTGAAGCAGTCATTCATGCAAAAGGATTCCCGACCAAGTATTGAGTGCATAACTGAACATGATTATTTGAAGGTTGGCGTTTTTTTTATTAAAAACACTTGTCTTTCATTGGTGGGATGAAATATGCTAATTTTTTGGGACAGGCATTTTGGGTTTTCATGAGCTGTATGCCATAATCATGAGTATTAAAACAATTAAAGACCTGAAATATTTCAGTTGGCGTGCAATGAATCTGAAATATATGAAAGTTTCATTTTTATCATTACATTATGGAAAATGATGACCTTTATCACAATATGCTAATTTTTTGAGAAGGACCTGTAGATATTGTGGGGCTGTTTTGGTTGAAATGCCTTTGCAACATCACATGGACATCTGGAGAAGTGCCACTGGATTGGCAGACTAGGAGACAGTTCCCCTCTTCGAAAGGGGTGATTGGAAAGTGTGCTGCAATTGAAGGGGCATTATTCTCCTTAGCCTCCCTGGCACAGATTGTTGGTTGAATATCAAATCCAGGAGGAACACTGTGGGATCCATCCTGGCCGTGGAACACTGGATCAGCTCTTTTCCCTCACTAGGGTCCTCGAGGGGTCATGGGAGTTTGCCCAGCCAGTCTACATGCATTTTGTGGACTTGGAGAAGGCTTTTGCCCATGTTCCTCAAGGTACACTGTGGGGGATGCTCCATGAGTATGGGATTGGGGGCCCATTGCTACAGGCTGTTTGTTCCATATACAAGCGGTGCGAGAGTTTGGTTTGCATTGCTGATCGTAAGTCGGATCCTTTCGGGATAGGAGTTGGACTCCACCAGGGCTGCCCCAATTCTGTTCATAACTTTTATGGACAGAATTTCTCTGTGCAGCCAGGGGGCAAAGCGAGTCTGGTTCAGCGGCCTCAAGATTCCTTCTCTGCTATTTGCGGATGATGTGGTTCTGTTGGCGTCATCATGCCATGATCTTCACTTCTCACTGGAGCTGTTCACAGCTGCGTGTGAAGTGCCTGGGATGAGATTCAGCACTTCCAAATCTGTGGCCATGATCATCAGTGGGAAATGAGTGGATTGCTCTATTCCAGTCGAGGGTGAGGTTCTGCCTCAAGTGGAGGAGTTCAAGTATTTCAGGGTTTTGTTCACGAGTGCGGGAAGAATGGATTGTGGGATTGACGGACAGATTTGTGCAGCATTTGCAGTATTGCAGATTTTGTGCTGGTCTGTTGTGGTGAAGAGGGAGCTGAGCTGTAAGGCAAAGCTCTCTGTTTAGAGTGGAAAGGAAAAACTCCCTTTTAACAGGAAGAAACCTCCAACAGAACCAGGCTCAGGATAGGCGACCATCTGCTTTGACAAGCTGGGATTTGAGAGGACAGGAATGAGAAACAAACACAGAATGGCAGGTCCAGATGTAGGTCCAGGCTTACCCTCTATTGGAAGAAAGACATAAAACACATCTAACAAAGTTAATTCAGGTCCACTGGATAGATTAAAAAAAAACTTGTTGAAATGTTAAAAATTTAAATCTCAGGAAGTCCAACATTTTACTGACCACATCAACTCCGTGGATAAATATATCAAGTTCACACAAGAATATGTAAAAATTGGCAGGTTGGCTTTCTTGGACTGTGAGGTCTCAGTCTCTGATAGAGGACATTGGCAAACTGAGGTGTACCGCAAACCCACCCACACAGACCAGTATTTGCAGTTTGACTCCCATCACCCTTTGGAGCACAAGTTAGGAGTCATCAGGACTTTGTATCACAGAGAAGACAGCGTTCCCACTAACTCATGAGCCAGGCAGAGGGAGAAATCCCACATTAGACAGGCTCTAGAGCAATGTGGATATCCTAACTGGGCCTTCCTGAAAGCAGAGAAGAAACCCAAACAGGACTCCAGTCAGCCATCAGGTGAAAAGGAGGAACCCAGACCCAGACCAGTGGTCAGTCCATATGTTGAGGGAGTATCAGAGAAACCGAGATATTTATTTTCTAAACATAACGTCCCAGTGGCTTTTAAACCCCAAAATACATTACGGCGAAGACTGGTTCATCCCAAAGATCCAGTCCCCTGGCACAAACAGCATAATATTGTGTATGCTGTTCAGTGTCAGGAAAGCTGTGATCAGTCTTACATCAGGGAAACTAAACAGCCACTGGCCAAATGGATGGCCCAGCACAGAAGATCATCATCATCAGGCCAGGATTCTGCGGTCTACACTCATCTCCAAGCCAGCGGTCACTCTTTCAGGGATGAAGATGTTCACATCCTGGACAGAGAGGAATGCTGGTTTGAGAGAGGCGTAAAGGAGGCCATCTTTGTGAAAAGAAACCGTCCATCATTAAACAGGGGTGGAGCCTCCGTGTTCAACTGTCCCCCTCTTACAATGCTGTTATTGCTAGTATCACTCAGCCCTCTGTGAATAGTAAACAGCCATCAGTGTGCTAATGATCCATTGTTAGGCTGATGGTCCTTCTTGACCATGTGAGCAGCTGGTTTTGGTTGCCAGCAGCAAACTGGTTGATCCACTCTGAGAAGGTGCTATTTAAGAGACTGAGCTGAATACAGCACCTCAGACTGAGGAAGTCTTTCGGATGAAAGATGAAACGTTTCTACATTTTTTTGGTTGTTTTGCTTTGTTTTTTTTTTTGTTTTTTTTTGAATGTCCTGAGGACCAGATTTAACTTTTTTAGATGTTTTAAATTTAGTTTGATGCAGATCTGAAGAACACATTTGCTGCAGTGGGCTTGGACACATTTTTTATCAAAATATGTTATGTATTTTTTGGAATAAATATTTCATGTATATGGCAGGAACTAATCATCCAGATCAATGCTGTTCATTTTAAATTCCTGTGACAAAACGTTTAGTCTCTTTGTAGATCCATTGTGATCTGTTCTAAAACACATGGACTTGATAAACTTGGGAGTGGTGCTGCTGAAATTGCACTTCTCATGTTCGTAATGATTCAAAACAGGATTGTTGATTAAATATAAACATTTTCCTTGTAACAATCGAATGGGAAAAACTTTGAATGGTCATTATTTATTGGATATTATCCTGTGATTTTACCAGTACAGTCCATGGGAAAACAAATAAATCTTAATGGGCCCTTGAACTAAATTTAGTTTGACACCACTGGTATACGGTGACAGACCAGACAGAGAGCAATTTAGAGCATTCATATTGACACAGCACAACACAAAGCTTGATGTTCCTTACCCAGATGTGGGTTACCAGGCCCCGCCCTGGAACCAGGCCTAGGGGAGGGTCTCAGCAATCAGCATCAGGTAACCAAGCCTCTACCCATGTGGCCTGGTCAGAAGGCAAATCTATGTACATGTATGTGTTACATTGGCTTGCATTCTGTGGGGCCACAAGCCTGCAGGAGGGGCCACATGAGTCAGATGCATATTGTCATGGGTGCTAGCCAAAGGTGGGGGCTTTGGCTCTCTGACCCTGACTTACCAAAGTTGGCTCTTGGGACAAAGAGCTGAAACTTACTGTGTGAAAACATTATTGCTATTTATGCCTGCTGAGTTTGTGATGGCCATATTTAGATTGTGCAGGTAGGACATTTGTGTTCTGCTGAGTTCTGAAGCCAAACAAGTGCAAATTGCTCATGCCACTCAACTTGATGGCTGTATTTTTGCAAGCATTTACAGTAATTAGTTTCATTTATTTTTCTTAGCATTACACCAAAAAACATGAGGTATTAAAGCTGAATCACTTTCCAGTGTCGCCTGTGTGCTTGTTCAGAATGGGAGGTTGGAATGAAATGGGAGATTTGATGCAATCTGCTGGCTTTCTTAGAAAGAAAATGTTTCAGTAAGTGGTATTTCATAATTATGTAAATGTTTTTGTACAATACCCTGAGACAACGTTTGTTGTGAATTGGCTGGTGTTATAAAAATAAACTGAACTGATTCAGCTGTATCATTTAGTGGACAAAACAGATTCTTGAGGCTTTATGAGCCAACAACTCCAGTTTAACAAACTACGGTAAGATGAAAATGAAGAGTGTTTGTCTGCAGCTCACATTTTCATACAGCGCCTGCAGGGTTTCCATGTCCACAATGTTGTCGTCCAAGTTCAAGATGGCTAAGAAACAGAGAAAAAAGTAACTGATCACAAATGTGTTCACTAACCACTCCAGCTGTCATCCAAAGCCACTAACAAACATGTTTTAATGTTTTGTCTTTCTTAACACCTAAAATGAATGAATGGGTGGTTAACAGCCTTCCACAAAACTCAAATACATGCTGAGGAAGTCATTCAATCTCTGAACCAAGTATGCTGGAGCAGGGAAACAACTAAAACATGGATGATCTTGTTCTTGAGAACTGGGATTGGAAACCACTGATCATGCGAGTTACTTTAAATAGGAGTGAGTCAGATTTCCTCCTCAGATGTGTGCAAATCTAGTGGAAATTGGACTGTACTTATATAGTGTGTTTCAAGCCCAGCACTTTGTCTAAGTGGATGGGTAAATGAGGGCACAGGCTATGTATCTGTGCCCTCATCTACCCATCTACCAACACATTCACACAGCACTCTACAACAAATCTGAGTAAATAATCTATAGAGACTAATCAGTGCTTTAAACCACATTTATACACTGATGGACACACATCAGAGGCATTGAGGGTTCAGCGCCTTGCTTTGGGACACTTCAACATGTTGGTGGAGTTGACTGACAGTATGTCTTGTAATTAGTGGCTGACTACAAGAAATGTTTTACCACAAGAAATATGTTTGATAATGAAAGTTGCTCTACCGAGAAGTGTTTTGCTTGATGAGAATATACTTCTTTAAATAATTAACATGAAAACCACATTCATGTAATTTTTTTTAATTATTCTTTCTCTTTCCATGCAGATGAAGCTATAATAAAACTTAGAGACAAACTTACAGCAGCAAATAATCAATAGTTGGTTTTTATAATGTATGTGAATGCTTTTGTATGGAGCCCTGAGACGACCTGTCGTGACTTGGAGCTGTCAAAAAAAAAAAAAAAAAATTAATTGAATTGAATCAGATAATTGTGTCCCACTCTGTATGTGACTGTTGAACTTCATGTGTAAATTAGAATAATATTTTTGTGTAACCACAAAAACAAAACTGTATTCAGGAGAATCAGACATTTGAATGGGGTTTGCAAATCTCAAGTTCATTTACTTTTTTTTTTAACAAAGTATTTTTATTCCATCATCCATCCATCCATTATCTTTTACCCGCTTCTTCCTTTTTTGAGTCGCAGGGGTCGCTGGTGCCCATGTCAAGCAATCACTGTGCAAGGGGTCGGGGACACTCTGGACAGGTCTCCAGTCCAGTTCATCACAGGGACACATAGAGACGAACAACCATTCACTCTCTCACTCACACCTAGGGACAATTTTACATGCATGTTTTTGGTCTGTGGGAGGAAACTGGAGTATCTGGAGAAAACCCACGCATGCACGGAGAGAACATGCAAACTCCACCCAGAAAGTCCCCCGGACCTGGATTTGAACCGACAACCTTCTTGCTAAGAGTCAGCAGCTCTACCAGTTATGCCACCATGCTGCTTATTCATTTTTTTTTTTTTATAAATATAGAACAAAACAAAACATAAAACCATAAAGCAATTCCCTCCCATCCTCACCCTTCCCTCCGACACCAGATCAGTTAACACCACACAAACAAATTATACATACAGGTGCTGACATGCTCTCACCAAACAATATAAATTCAAGATTAAAGACTCCTTACTTGTCATTCCATCACATGTGGTACATGTGGTGGAATGCAATTGTGTACATATGGTCCCAGTTACATCCAACAAAGTATTAAAATGTAAAAGAAAAACAGTAATAAGATCTAAGATATGAACTAAGAAAAGTGTTAACTAAAAATACACTAAGCACTAGTAGTATAGAAACAATAGAAACAATACATGAACAGCAGCATGAACATGAGTCTGTGAGAGAAGATGAGTACGAATGAACACAGCAACATGAAAGAGATCAGCAGCAACATTGAAACAGATCAGCAGCAACATGATATGATTCACAGAGATTATCCTGGTTAGAGACTTATGAATCTAACAGCTTCAGGGTAGAAGCTGTTCCTCAGTCTAGTGGTTCTACACTTAATGCTCCCCAACCTCCTTCCCGAGGGGAGTGGGGCAAAAAGTGTGTGTGCTGGGTGAGTGGGGTCCTTCATGATGCAGGTGGCCCTCTTCCTGCATCTGGAGGTGTAAATGTTGGTGATGGTGGGGAGGCTGACCAGACTTCTGTGCAGCCTTCACCACACACTCTGTAAAGCTTTTCTTTCTGCAGCTGTGCAGCCTCCATGCCACACGTTGATGCTGGAACACAGGATACTCTCCACTCCACACCTGTAGTAGAAGGTGAGGACTGAGCTTCCCAGTCCAACTCGACTAAGCCGCCTGAGGAAGTAGAGTCTCTGATGTGCTTTCTTGATCAGGTTAGTAGTGTTGTTTCCCCAGCTGAGGTCATCGTTCAGGTGCACACCCAAGTACTTGTAGCTGGAGACCACTTCCACAGCAGATCCTCCTGTGTTGGGGTGGTAGGTGTGTTTGTTCCTTCTGAAGTCCACAACCATCTCCTTTGTCTTTTTCACATTGATGTGAAGGTTATTCTTCCTGCACCAGCTCTCCAGGTGTTCCACCTCCTGCCTGTAGCTGGACTCATCATTGTTTGTGATGCATCCCACCACCACTATACCATCAGGGTTTGGGGGATCATGGTGTTGAAGGCAGATGTGAAGTCCACAAAGAGCATATGGACATAGGAGTCCTTCTGCTCCAGGTGGGTGAGAGCAGTGTGGACCACAGAGGAAATGGTGTTCTCTGTTCATCGATTCTCGTGGTATGCATACTGGTGAGGGTCCTCGTTGATGTTGATAGTTGTTCTGATGTAAGTCATGACAAGTTTTTTAAACCATTTAGCGACTATCGAGGAGAGGGCTACTGGCTGGTAGTCAGTAGCTATGTTTACATGCGCAGAATTCTTTGACCGGATTGAAATGTGTTCTGTTTGAATAATTCAAATGTATTGTTTACATGGGCACAATCTGTTCATGATGAGCGTTTACATGCAGCGGGCTTTGTTCTGAACAGCAGTACTGACATGCGCAGAGTGGTAAACTCTCCTTAAAAAAAACACCGAAGAAGAAGTTCTACTTCCGGGTGAACGTAAACAAACCTGAGCACCCAAAATGGACCCGCGACAGGTTTTAATGATGGTGGAGACGTTATTGCACTCCCTGACTGAGCTACATGTGATACAGATCATTTTGAGCTCTTTAAAAGTTTCTAGTAGAAATTTTGTGTCGCTCACCGACCAGTTTTACTTCCCTGACATGCTAATATTATTAGCGTTAGCCAGGCGGAAATGGCAAAGTCGCACATGCGCAGTCAGGTCAGTTTTTCACCATCAGATAAAAACGAACAGATCAAGTGTTTACATGCGCACTGTAGTGAACTAAGCCTGATCTCAAAACTTGACCTTAGGATCATATGGTCAGAAACTGTCATTTCATTGATTTGCATCCAGAAATACAGGTTGACCCATCCTGAGACTTTCTTTCTTGAATTAATCAAGTGGAAAAAGACTATTCTCTATGATCATTACTATTTTAAATGTTTTGATAATCAAATTGTGTTAGTTCAAACAATGTTTACATGTTGAAGTGAACTACTCATTTTTATTTACTTAAAACAGTAATAATGATTTTTAATCCTCATTCAAAGAAGAAATCAGGTGAATGATGCATTGTCTGATTTTCTGTCTTCAATGAGCAAAGTTTGTAAGTGTGTCGAAGTTCAAGCTTCGGTCAACTGAAAGTTTACTGAAAAGAAATGTCATGTTTAACTTTTACAGCAAGATACTAGGAGTAGAGACTCCACGAAGTCTGGTTTCTTCGTAATATCTCTTTGTCTGTTCTTAAATAATCTTAATCTTTTCCTTGACTTTTCATAACACCTTACATCACAAAACACACCTCTGTTCTGGTCCACCGACCAATCAGAGGCTCTCAAATGCACCGGAAATAGAGCTCTTTAAATGTCGGTACTTCCTAGTTCTCCCCAGTTCCTGTTGGGTCAAAGTTCCAGTGCTAGGAAACAGGACATGACCACAGAGCTCTCCCGAGTCTTATGGGATTATAAATCTTCCACCTCTGGGTGGAACTCTGACGGACTCCACTCATGTGAAGTCCACTTGTTGAGGTGAACTGTTGTTGACGAAGTCTCGTCCTGTCAACACTTTTCACTCATACACACACCATCTCCCTTCCTCTAAACTTCATCTTTAAAATTCTTCTATCTGCTAAAGTAATTACAGATATTTTTAGAAATGTCTGAAGCAAAGTTTTCAAATCACCGCCGTGTGATTTGACGTCTGTTCTGCTGAAAGTGAGGAAAACAATCGCCGTATTGTTCTCACTCCTGTAAAACTGGTTAATAAGCTGTCGTTATTTTTCAATTCTTGCCAATTAATGTAAATGTGTGATGTGTTAAACTTGATTCTGTTAATAAATGACCCACTCGTTTGGTGAGTCAAAGATAATTAACGTCTCACGTCCACATTTTATTAAATTCAATGCATGCATGTTATACAGTCCAGAAAAATGAAAGAATCCGTTTTAACAGTATGAATATATCTCAGGATATGTCATACTACAGCACCGATCGGGTTTCGGATCGGCGTAAACCACCCGTTTCGTTCTGATCACAAATTATAACGGATCGCGCCGAATACACAAAAAATAACCCGAACGGAGTGTTTACATGACACACTTTTATTCCGACCGGCCATTTGATCTGGTTACTTATGTCCATGTAAACATACCCACTCAGACCAGTCATTGTAGAGCTCTTTGGGACTGGGATGATGGTGGCAGCCTTCAGGCAGGAACTGTTGCCAGGGTAAGTGAGGAGTTAAAGATGTCATTTTTTTTCAGGCAGATTATTTTTTCTCATCAGCCTTGAATCCTGCTAGTACTTTCGATCCAAAATGGACATATTTGTGAGCATTCCACTGGTCCGTGCTTATGAGCCCCCTCCAAGGTCATCTCCAACATGCTAGCCAGTCCCAGAAGCTGCAGATGGTCTGCGATTCTCACAAATTGCTTCCATCTTGTGGTTTAACTCGTAAATCAGCTGATTTTGAGTGCTAGAAGCACAAACCAAACTTTCACACAGACTCAGCAGTTTTGCCATGGCTGAAACTGCTACTGCCGTTTTCTTCAATAGCCGATAACATACGAATCCACCAGTGCCAAAAAGCAGATACCCTGCTATCATGATTCCAGTTATATAAACATCTTCGGCATCCTCCTGAGACAATACGAAAAGGCACATCAGTTCCCAAACTCCCCACGGATCCATGACATATCCTGCCGTGTGCATCTCAGCGGGGCATGAGGGCTCTCCCTCAAAGTCCCTGTCGCTTTGTTGAAAAGATTTTATCAATTGCGTTGAAAGTCCAGCTAATCAGATCCATGATAGTAGTTTTCCATTTCGGAAGATGTGTAAATAGGAGTTCCGATACACAAGACAGAGAGCAAAAAGCAGGAGGAGAACGGGAGAGGGAAGAAAAGGCGTCTGCCTTGCACGAGAGTGAGTGAAGAAGAAAATTGAGGCACATGATTTTAATATCCCATTCCTACATGATCATTTCAAAAATGACATCCAGGTAGAAATTTGGTCTTTAGTCTAGAGATACATCTAACTTGAAAATGTGTGAAAGAAGCTCAATTAACATAAATAAACATGAGTTTAGCTCACCATGCTGGATGTCTTTCATGTCAAGATGCAAAGAAGACATGAGGATCCCAACTGCCTGAGAGCGTTTATTGTTTAGAAGCTTCACAACCTAAAAAAAAAAAGATCAGACACAAAATTAAATATGGTTGTATGAAATTATTTTACCAAAAAGTGATATATTTGATTATTTGGAACAGCACCAATCTAAACCAAAAACAGAATGTTTACAAAATAAAATTTTTGCTCTCCTCCTTGAATCACCATCTTATCGTGGTGGAGGAGTTTGTGCCTGAATGATCCTAGGGGCTATGCTGTTGGGGCAATTTTAATTGCCACTCACAGGGTCTCCCAAAGCAGATTGGTTCTAGATGACAGGCCAGACAAAGAGCGATTCAGAAGACTTTTTATGGACAAACAACAACAACAAGGAGCTCAGGGTCCCTTGCCTGGATGTGTTACTGGGGTCCCACCCTGGATCCAGGCCTGGGGAAGGGGCTTGTGGGCAAGTGCCTGATGACCGGGTCTCTTCCCATGGGGCCCTGTCAGGCTCAGCCCAAAGGAGCAACATGGGTTTGCCTTTTTGTGGGCCCACCACCTGCAGGAGGGGCCATATGAGTCGGGTGCATGACTCCATGGGTAGTGGCCGAAGGCAGGGGCCTTGGTGCTCTGACCCTGGCTTACCAAAGCTGGCTCATGGGACATGGAATATGACTTTTCTGGTGGGGAAAGAGCCTGAGCTTGTGCATAAAGTTGAGAGGTACCAACTAGATATAGTTGGGCTCACCTTGATCCACAGCATAGATTCTGGAACCGATCTCCTTGAGAGGGGTTGGACCTTATTCCACACTGTAGTTGTTCATGGTGAGAGGCACCAAGCTGGTGTGGGTCTACTTTTAAATCCCTGACTTGTGGAGAGTGGCTTCCCTGCATTTGGGTGGAGGGACAGGCTCTGACTGTTGTTTGTGCCTATGCACCAAATGGTAGTTCAGAGTATATGGCCTTCTTGGAGTCCTTGTTGGGGGTGCTGGAAGATGCGTCAGCTGGGGACTCCTTTATTCTGCTGGAGGACTTCAATGCCCACGTGGGTAATGATAGTGTGACCTGGAGGGGAGTGACTGGGAGGAACAGCCTCTCTGATCTGAACCCAAGCAGTGTTTTATTGTTGGACTTCTGTGCTAGTCATAGCTTGTCCATCACGAACATATGTAAATGGACTGTACTTATATAGCGCCTTTCTATCTTATTTCAAGATACTCAAAGCGCTTTACACTACAATCTGTGTCCTCATTTACCAATTCATACAGCACTCTACTAGATCTCTACAAAGCTAATTGAACAAATCATTCTAATGAGACTAATCAGTGCTTTAGATCACATTCATACACTGATGGGACACACATCAGAGGCTATGAGGGGTTCAGTGTCTTGAACCCCCAATTCTTGCATTGGCAGACGACTGCTCTAACCACTCAGCCACAGCCGCCCCTCATATGTTCAAACATAAAGGTGTCCATAAGTGCACTTGGCACCAAGATGACCTATGTTGTAGATAAATGTAATCAGCTTTGCAGTCATCTCATCTGATTTGGGGCCATTTTTCTGGACACTCAGGTGAAAAGTCTAGCTGAGCTGTTAACTGATCAGCACCTGGTAATGACTTGGATCAGATGTGAGGAAAGATGCTGGACAGACCAGGTAGACCCAAAAGTTAAGTGAGGGTTTGCTGGGAACACCTGGCAGAAAACCCGACAGAAAACTCTTCAACTCACACCTCCAGGAGAGATTTAACTGCATCCCAGCTGAAGTGGGGGACATTGAGCCAGAATAGTCCATGTTTTGTAACTTAATTGTTGAAGTAGCTGCCTTGAGCTCTGGCCGCAGTGCTGTCTGTGCTTGTTGTGGTGGCCATCCTCGAACTCGGTGGTGGACACCCCTCGTTAGGGAGGCTGTCAAGCTGAAGAAGGAGTCTTATCAAGCCTTGTTGGCTGGTAGGACTCCAGAGACAGCTGAGGAGTACTGGAGACCCAAGTGGTCAGCAGCCTTTGCTGTTGCTGAGGCAAAAGCATGGGTACTGGAGAAGCAAAGCCGATTATTTGTTGAACCTCAGCTCCAGGAGGAACAATCCAGGTTCCATCCTGGCTGTGGGACACAGGATCAAGTCAAGTCAAGTCAAGTCATATTTATTTATAGAGCACAATTTAAAACAGATAGACTGTTATCAAAGTGCTTAACACTAAGGGTAACACTGAGAAATAAAAAGCAGTAAGAATATACCTTAAAAAATTAAAACAACAGCATTAAAATGAAGACATGGAACAAGATATACTAAATCAACCCACACAGTATGAAACGCCAGAGAGAACAGATATGATTTTAGCAGGGATTTGAACACAGGAAGGGAGGTGGCATGCCTAATGTTGGGGGGTAGGTTGTTCCACAGTTTGGGACACATGACTGAAAACGCCCTATCTCCTCGGAGCTTCAGTCGTGTTTTTGGAACAACCAAAAGCAGCTGATCGGATGATCTCAGAGACCGAGAGGGAACATATGGTTCCAGTAGCTCAGCGAGGTAGATGGGTGCAAGGCCATTTAGGCACTTATAGGTCAGGAGGAGAATTTTGAAATCAATCCTAGTTCTCACAGGAAGCCAGTGTAGGGAGGACAGAACTGGTGTGATGTGCTCATACCTCGGTGTACCGGTTAAGAGCCGAGCTGCAGCATTCTGGACGTGCTGTAGCCGTGAGATAGAGGCCTGGCTGACCCCAGCATACAGTGAATTACAATAGTCCAGGCGGGTTGTGATGAATGCATGGACTAGTGTCTCAAGGTCGGGTCTAGACAGCACTGGCTTGAGCTTAGCTACCTGCCGCAGTTGGAAGAAGCTTCTCTGCAGAACTGAACTGATCTGTTTGTCGAACTTAAAATCCGAGTCAAAAACCACTCCAAGGTTTTTAACAGAGTGCTTCAGATAAGGCTGAAGGGAGTCCAGGTTCACAGGATAAGAGGAGGCAGCTGAGCTAGGGCTAAAGACAATGACTTCAGTCTTCTGGTCGTTAAAACTTAGACAATTTGAAGCCATCCATGTCTTAATGTCGTCCAGACATTTGAGAAGAGGGTGGACGGAACAAGCACTGGCTGGTTTCAGTGGCAGGTAGATCTGACAGTCATCGGCGTAGCAATGGAATGGAATACCATGTTTTCTTAGGATCGACCCCAGCGGAAGCAGATAGAGTGAAAATAGAAGGGGTCCGAGAATCGAGCCCTGCGGGACACCGCAGGAAAGAGGCATTGAAGTGGATAGATTTTTACCCACCTTCACACAAAAACTCCTGTCAGAGAGGTATGAGCGGAACCAGTCTAATGCAGCACCTGTAATCCCAACCCAGTGTTCAAGCCGAGAGATGAGGATACTGTGGTCAACAGTATCGAAAGCGGATCAGCTCTTTACCCTCACAGATGACTGTGGCTGAGTGGTTAGAGCAGTTGTCTTCCAATGCAAGAGTTGGGGGTTCTATTCCACCATCAGTCACCTGCCAAAGTGTCCTTGGGTAAGACACTGAACCCCTCATTCCCTCCGATGTGTGTCCCATTGGTGCATGAATGTTATAAAGCACTGATTATTATTTGTATAAATATAATAGAGTGCTGTATGAATGGGTAAATGAGGGCACATATAGTAGAGTAAAGTTCCTTGAGTGACTTGATAAGATAGAAAGATGCTAAATAAGTATATTCGTGATTGTCTTGCAGGAGCTGGAGGAAGCAGCATTTAGTTGCATTTAGTGCCAGTAAGTGATGGTTTGACAAATTAAAAAAAAGATTTGGATTAAAAAGTGTTTCTCTGCACAGAGAGGCTGCGTCCGCTGACAGCAGGAATGGAAGAGTTTGTTAACACGAGTTCAAAGATCTGATCACCAAGGTGGTCTACAGGTCTGAACAAGTTTTTAACATGAACGAAAGGGATGGAAAAGGATGCTATCTCACACTTTTATTATGAAGGATGAAGCCAAAGCGCCTGGTTTAATCTCATCTTCATCACCTTCATCATCATCATTGGACAGTTAATTCTTTACCTCCATCTCTTCTTCATCTTCTGTGGTGAGTACCCATTTAAATGTATAATTTTAAAAAAGGTATAAGAGTTTAGAAAATTGTTAGGAACATTGCAAGAGAGTGGGAAGGGTTTAAAACTTACTGCAACTACAGAAAATACTAAAATAAACTACTACTTATTACAACTACTACTACTTGTGTACATAATTTCGTTCGTAAAACTTATTTGAACTGAACTTGAACTTGGACTACTGCATCCTTACTTCATGGTTTTTCACTTATCACATGGGGGATGGTAGTGGGGCATGGTCCCTAACATCCGCTATAAACAAGTGACTACTGTATGTATATATATATGTATATATATATATATATATATATGTGTGTATATATATATATATATATATATATATATATATATACAGTATATATATATATACTGTATATATACTGTATATATACATATATCTACACACACACATTTATATAAACTTAATATATATATAAAAAAATTCAGCAGTTAAGTAAGGTGGTTGAATTTTCTGCTAAGAATCACATTGTCCTAAACTTAAAGATTAAAGGACTTTCTGAGGGTTAAATTTAATTAATAATATTTAAGATTTTAGTTCATGTAGAGTAATCTTTAACACACCGACCTGTTTCGCCTTGGTCTTAGTTATGGTATCAGAGAGTGGTTGCTTTTTTTCCTTAACAGCTTTTTTGGAGAACAGCTCCAGAAACTCATCAAAGTCCACTTCAGGCTCCTCAATTGTTTCCCACACCAGTGAAGAAGCAATCTCTCTGGAAAATATATATCAGCAAAAGATTTAAACAATAGTCCCAATCAAAGACAACTTGCAAATTATTTGTATAAAAAAGACAAGAAAGTATGACTTTGAAGCAATAATGATGGAATGTGCACTAAGTGAGGACTGTGCAAAACCATTTTAAAGAAAAATATAAATCACATTTTCCTGTAATATTTACATAGGACTAAACTGCCATTAGGCTGGGAGGAGTATATTTTTTGAAAGACATAGTTTTTGCCTATATATAAATGGTGGATATACTTTCTTATTATAATAGTTCTTCAAAGTAAAGCTTCCTAAAAAAAATGTAGTATTGGGTCTGATCTCTGTTTTGTTTTTGTTTTTTTTCCAAAGTGGGGGCGGTCCAGACCCACCAAAACATCCAGGGAATGCCGCCTGTTCATGAACAATCAGCAACATAAAAATTTACTTTGTGACGTTGCCTTAAAACTCTAGTAATAAAGGCAGCTGGCAATATGCATACCATCAAGGACTGCTCCTCTTTTCATTCTCTTTTGAGCCATTAGACACCATAGAAAAATAACAGTAATAATATACATCAATACTTTTTGGGGTGTAGCTGAATCCTGGTCCAGTAGAGTGGCTTCATGGGTCTGGGTGGCTCCACCGCAGCTTTCCTTGGCAGCTTCTCTTGTGATAAAGCCTGAGAATACAGATCCAAAGGCAGTGGGGGTGGCAGGAAACCCAGTGCTCCCAGAGGAGCCAAGGCAACACTGATGGCTCCTGGTGGAAGAGCGGGAGGAGGGGGCCCACAGCCTGGAGGAGGTGGTGGTGGTGGAGGAGGAGGAGGTGGACCTGCAAAACCTGGAGGAGGTGGAGGTGGTGGTGGTGGAGGAGGAGGAGGTGGACCTGCAAAACCTGGAGGAGGTGGAGGTGGTGGAGGAGGAGGTGGACCTGCAAAACCTGGAAGAGGTGGTGGTGGAGGAGGAGGTGGACCTGCAAAACCTGGA